AGAGGAGAACTGGCAGTTGCAGGAGAACACCAAGAATGGCAGAACCAGAATGGTCAGAGCAAGGAGTTACTGGACTGACCCAGGGCTTTTACAAGCTCAGGAGGAAGTGTGTGCAGCAAAAGAGACACATTTTCTCCAGCCTCATCCATGTTTAGCTTAGCATTTGGGACTGATTCGAACCTCTCCCACTGTGGGACAGCAGTGCAACGCCATTCATGGCCAGTCTTTCCAAGTTTCCAAGAGTCTCAAGTAGCTCTAGTTGCATTTGTGTTAAAATTGAATTGTGTTTTCTTTTGACTTAGAAGCCGAACTTGATTTCCAAGCCAATGCTTGACAGCATCCTTTGTCTTCGTGATGACAGATGGAAGTATGTCCGGAGCCTCCTGACCCCAGCCTTCAGCAACACCAAACTGAAAGAGGTAAGGTGTGTAGACAGTGCTGCTTTCATAATTTAGAAGACATAATTGTTTTCTTTTGTGCAGGCATCTGCTTTATATCGGTCCATATTAAGGATAGGTAAAACCTGCTGCTTTGTGCCAGTTCATTTAGACCTGAAGAGCATATGCAGTAGAGCGTACATACAGTGTGGTCCAGATCATAGACTGGTGAAAATCAGAATAGCTCATCTGAGGATATGATCCCCTGTCTTTCTTGATATAAGCCAGTTTGTCCATAAAAGTGTAGCAAACTCAAAAAGGACCCTTACACCTTCCTCCCCCCTCCCCATTAGGAGTAAGCTAAAGTACGGGAAAGGTTATTGCTCCCAGTTGGAACATAGCTTTTCGTGATTTGCAGAGTCAGCAGCTCCCACGTTAACACAGGAACTGCTGTCAGTCTATTTTCATTTCTCCATCTTCTTCCCCCACTCCTCCTTTTATTCTTTAATCCTTTCATATAATAAAATAAGTCACTGGAACAGAATGTCATTGCCAGATAAATACCTCTGACTGAAAATAAATGTCTCTGCACTGACCGGCTGCTAATTTCCTATAAATGTCTCAGCATTTACTTAGTCATGGGAACCCATTACCCGGTAACAAAGTCCTATTCCAGTGACACGATATCTCTTAATTAAACGCAGGTAAATGATTGACTGGTTAAAGTCTTCTTTCAAGGAAAAAAAACCCCAAACCCACAATCAAAAACCTCCTCTTCCTTTAGGTATTTTATTCAGAAAGGGAACCATGCCTCACTCCAGTGCCCAGTCCTGGGTTGTAAAATTTTCCACTGGGCAGACGCTTGTGTTGTTTTGACATGCCGCTGTCGAAATCCACAGTAACATCTAAATGTGTCTGGCTCTCCCAGCTCTATAGACAGCGGTCGCTTAGCAACGCCGGCTGTCACCTCCTTATTATGGTAAATTCTAATTGGCCGCCAGCCTGGCGGAGATGCTGATTAATCACGACTGACAATGCCATTGGTTATGCGCCCCGACATTTGCTCTGTCACCGGCTCCATCGCGAAATTTTAGCGAGGCGAGTATGTTTAAATATGCAAGTGATTAGTTGCTCATGGTGTTGTGGGGAGAGGAGAGTTTTGCATTTTCCTAGCGGAAATTAATCTGCCTTACTGCAGGTCATCGGCTCTTTGCTGGCGGACTAACAAAAGATAAAGCCTCCCCTCAATTTGCAGAGAGCAACCTCTGCCGGCACCAGCCAGACAGACTTGAAGGAGGAGAGCGGTGAGGGTGAGCAGGTGGAGGCCCTGGGCATCGTGCTTTGGGGCCAGACGGGCACGGGTTTGCAGGGTTTGACCGATTAAACCAGGACGGGAGGAGAAGTCACGGTGCTCACTTTGCACTGCTTGGTGGTGGAGCTGCAATGCAGGAGGAAGGTAGTGGTAGGAGGTAAAGTGGAGGGCTGGCTAGTGCCTGGTAGCTGTCTCTCATTCAAAAATTGAGATCTTTATTTTTAGCCTGTTAATCAGCTTTCCCTCTGCTGCCTCTTCCAAACTCTGTGGAAAGGGTGAGATTGTGCATAGGCTCAGGGTGACATGGAAATGGTCACTTTCTCCTCCCAGTCTACAGAAAGTGGGAAAACAAGGAGTGGGGAAGGTCTTTCCGAAAAGCCCAACTTTGTTCCTATGTCCCATGTCTTCACCAGAAGACCATCCATCCATACACAGAGAGACGCTTGCAGTAAGTCCATGCGAGGTTAAGAGCTTCTTCTGAATGGATGCACTCCTCAGCCTTGCCTTTCATTTCCTACCCAAATACATGAACAATCCTGGGATTTGAAGTTAATGCAAGTTAAGTCCTCTCTCATGTGCTTCTCTTGCTGTTGCTTAATTTAGAAGCCATACCAACACTTCTCAAAGGAAATCAATGCTCATTAATTATGATATCACTTTTTAACTCTCCCATATTTGGTACTCTCTCAGAACCTCTACAGCAGCATGGAAATAAAAATACCATGTTCTAGTATTGGCCATACTACAGAGTATTCAGAGTTATGTAGAAGACACCCTGTTTATAATAAACTCTTCCCCTCTACCTCAAAGGAGTTACAAATAAGCTAGTTTTGGTGTTAATTTATCACATAAGAACCTGGTTATGCTGTTTCATAGGTATTTATAAATAGTGCTAGACACATTCCTAGTTTCTTTTCCTAAGACTTTGATTCCTTTTCCACAGAGATCTGAGCTCTGACAAAACCCCACACCAAAGTCTTCCTCTCTGTTCACTCTGGATATGACTGCCTTGCCTCCGTTCCCCTATGCAAACTCCCCAGTGATGCTGCAGAGCCTGCAGACCTCCCGAGTAGTTTTGGAGAGTGGTTCCCCTTGAGCACGGCAGCCCCTAGTGCCACTCCAAACATAAACTTGTTTGTCTGGATGCTCTGAGGGAACTGGGAGCTATTAGCCTGTGACAGAGCAATAAATGTTAACAGCTCCTTGTGCTCCCCATAGCAGTCACTTCAGATAAAAGGTGCACAGAGGGACGGAGAGTTGAGTGTAGGTTCTTGATGTCTCCATTTCAGAAACACAAGAGTCTACTGGTAGGCTAAAGGACAGCTTCAGCACTAGCAATAACAAGAAGCCGGTCATCCACTCTTTGGCCTGGCTGCTGCAGGACAAAACCTGAGATGGAGCTCGCGTATGTTGCTAAGATTTGACCCGTTATGCCCCACAGAGGCATGTAGGTGCTGTGGCTGGGGCCAGAGGCGTACTTTGCCCTTGTGTCTCCACAGAAGCAGTGTAGTGTCACTGAGAAGTTCATTAAGCTTGAGGAATTTCCCCTTCGTTTGGCAAAAAAATCTCCAACAGCCAGTCACCAAATGAGGAAAAGTTGATCCCAGAAAATTTGAAGTTTGCAAAGTTATGAGCAATTAATTGAAACTGGAGGTTATAGAGTTGTTGGGTAGCCAGTGTAGTGATCTCTGTCTGTGTGCAGGGAGTTGTTTTCCTAACATTTTTCAAGATTTTCTCCAGCTTTCTCTCTCTGCCTCCTCATTTTCTCTTTAAAAGACGTGCACAGTTTCACTGTTGCTTTTATGGATTTCTATACACTGTGTGTTCTCCCTTTTTGGTTTTCTTTTTCTAATGAGCATGTAAAGATTAGTAAAGCAGTCCACTCCAACTGAAGGAAGGTTTGGCTCCAGGTAACATTAGATTCAAATACTATATGGTGAGCATAGCATAAATCAATAGACTTCTAAGATTGATCCTGCAGTAAAATTTGGTAGCATCCCACATGAGGTGCCACTGGAGTTGGTAGCACATCTGATAATGAACTCTTTCTAGTGAGACCCCTGAATGGACCTCATAGTGCCATTGCTATGGGAGCACTAAGAACGAGGAATGAGGGAGAGAAGGCACGAGACCCAAGAAGTTTCGCTTCCAGGTCTGCCATAGGCTGTCTGTGGGATTCTCTGTGCGTGAAATGACTTTCACTTGTTAAACGGGAATAATCGTGACCAGTGGAATTTGATCCAAAGTGTAATTGATGAGGAATTGCTGAAGAAAAATACCTGGAGGTCCTTAAGTAAAAAATGCATTTCTTGGTGTTCCTGTCATGCTCTCCTAGGCTATTATTTATTGAAACAAGGTAATATGTTAGTGATCTTGCTGTACCAATCTTGATTCCCTATTCAGTATTTCTTATTTTGTTCCTCTTCTTTTTGCTGTGGTGCCTGTGATGATCCTGCAGTTCTGGACCCCTTGTCAGACTTGATGAATAGCTTTGCTCTCTTTTACAGCCAACACCAGCAGAAAACCTATTGATTTTTATTTATTCTGATGGTGCTGCAGTAGTCTTGTCATCTCCTATCAGTATGCTGGGAATCCTCTCCTCCATTGAACAGCCATTAAAACAAAACAGAACACAAAAATTAAAGAAGAGAGCACAGCATAATGTAGCATTGTCCTAAATAACCTGCAAAGTGGAGTTTGTGTTGAGGCATTTTCTTTCAAACGAAGGGAGACACAAAGCAGAACTTGTGATAACATGGCAGAACAGCACAGGAAAATCCTCTAGTGTCACTCTCAGGCATGTAGATCTTCCAGGTCCCACTAGGACATAAGATCTGACAGTCCAACTGTTGAGGTCTCCTTGATTTGCTCTTACTCTGCTTGTGTGCGTTGGTCAGAGGTGTTTTGCAAGGGTCTCTGGAAATTGCTGCTGTTACTCAGAAAAGCAAGTGTGCTCACCAGAGACAGAACAAACACCTAATTTAAAAGCTGATTTGTGAAATGTGCATATCCTTGAGCCACAAGTTAGTGTCTGGATGAGTTCCTCACTTTGGTAAGTTGTGCCCATGAATAGCAGGGCCTCACTGTCAGGTGATGGAAACAGTCCTCTTGCCAACGTCTTCCTGATGTTCTGCTCTTTTCCTGGTTTTAGGCAGGGGCTTGAAATCTGGTACAGAAGCAATTCTTATGGTAGGGATGTATCATTTTTCCTTCTCCTTCCTTTATATTTCATCCCACTTGTGGGACAAGAGGCCCAACATGACTTCTGCGTACTATACCTGAACAGTAAAGTTTCCAGTGTGTTTGTCTACAGTGAATATGATCCAGTCTTCTCCTTTATAGTTTGGGTGCTAATAATAAGTAGAATAATAATAGTGAATACTGAGGACCACATCTAACGAGAGGAACGTGACTCTGATGCCTTTGAACAGTGCAAACATCCCCATGCACTGTGCGTATGCAGAATCAGAAACTAATTGTTGTTATGTGCCAAATAGCATATTGGCAGGATTTATACAGCAAAGCTCCTGGCATCGTGAAAACCCTAACCCCAAATGCTCTTCTTTGGCAGAAAGAAAGAAATTTGGACTCTGGGCTACTCTTGCTATTAGATAACTGGCAGATCAAATATTTACAGGGACCATATTGTTTAGATTTTTCTTCATCCTGTTGCTCTCAGCCAATCTGAACACAGAGCAGCTGGGGTTTGTTTACCCACGAAGAACTGAATCTCAGGCAGGTTATGCAGCTTTTATGTTCTGACTGGCAAATGATAATGTATAGGAAGTTAGTGATACCCAAGGCGGTGCAGATCAACATGTCTGTTTCTGTGCCGGTTTTCAGATTTTGGTATAGTTCACTTCCCCCAACACTACTTTATTTTTCTTGACAATTGGACAAAGAGTTTAAAGTGTTAAGGGACTTGAGAATGTTTCAGTCTGTGGTCTTTGTAGTTAGCAACCTTGGACTAATTTATGTCCCTCGGGGGAATAAAAACCCAACCCCAGGATTCCTCAGTAGATATCCCCCATAGCTTTCATATGCAAATAATTGTCTCATTGATATGACTGTGTCCTACCATGTTAACAATAAATCAAATCCATGTGCCCCCCTCCCCATTTTCCTGGTTAGATTTGCTAATAAAAATATCTTGTGGCTAGAAATGAATTGCAACAGTATTTTGAAAGGCTGGTGGAATGTGGAAAGTGCAGAGGTGCTGTGAGATGCCCTGGCCAGGCGTACGTGCCCCTGCCATCTCTGCCAGCTGTTGGAAAGCAATAGCAACCAGCTGGGTGGTTGCAGGTCTGGTGATGTGATGACGAATAAAAGAGAAAATAAGGCAATAAAAGGAAAATCTGAAATGATCACCATCTGTTTAGGAAACATCATACCTGTTAAAATATGGATTTTCATTTTGTTCTCCTTGACTGGTTCAGCTCATTGGAGGGGCTGGACCCAGAGATCATAAAGCATTTCACCCTGGTTCAATCTGTTGAACAGAAATGCGTTAATTTTGTTGAACCATTTGAGAAGCAGCTCACTGCAGGGGACCTTCTTTAGAAAGCCAAAAGGGGAAGAAAATTGCCACGTAATGCAATGTGCACCTCCCAAACACATACCAGCTACTTTTACCGAATACTAATTTGGCTTCACAATTGTCTTGTGAGACTGTGGCAAACCCCAAATCTATCCGGCTTTGAACTGAAATAGCGACAACCTGCTCCGTCCCATATAGGGACAGGACCTCAAGAGCAGATAGACACATTCTTGACTCAGACTTCTGCCTTTGCAAAACATATTGGATGCTCCTGCATTGGCCTTTTGACTGCGTATAGTCTTGCCCATGTGTTAGGATGGCAGTGTGCCTGTGCACAAAGTGTTATGCCAGTTTCACAGAGGTAGAAGTGCCAAGCAAAATGGACTTGGCTGGGCAGGCTGCATAGCTCTCGGAGTGTGCTGAGAGGCTGCAGTAAGTCTTTTTTGGTAACAAGAATGTCAGAGGAGTAGGACAAGTCTGTTCTCATGTTTGTTGACATCCGTATGCTGAAGGAGGTTGTTCAGGAAGGAAAGGCAGGTTTCTGTGCGTATGTCTGCTGATGCTCGCCATAGTTGTTGAGGCAAGACCGTGGTATTAAATTGTAGGCTGTAAGGATCTCTCGGCAGTCTATATGGAGAGAGAGCCATAGCAGATAATGCCTTTAGGGTCACGGTTGGATTATTGCTACACCCTTCCTCTGCCCTCCTAGTAGGTGTAATCAAGGCAAGTGTCTGATGCCTTCAGATGTAAAAAGTTAAAGAAAGAGAGAGAGAGAAACTTTAATGAGGTCTTGATGGTTGCCTATGTCATGGTTTCCATGAAGCACTAAAGAGGAAACTATTGCACCGTTAGCTACAGCCAGGCTGTGGGTAAGCCTACAAGACCATCATGTGTCAGGGACTGGGAAGAACAATTAGCTGAATAAACTCACATGAATGTCCACTTAATGGCGTCACCCCTCCAGAAAACCCTTTCCTCAGGTGGCAATAGCAGTTTGCCCTCAGCAACCTGTAGTGGTATGCATGGTGCTTTTCTAATGCACATGTTAAATCCCTCAAACTGAGGGACAGCAGGACAGAATTGCTGGGCCTCGGATGCTAGGATCTCTACAGGACTTTGGGACTATGGAAACCATTATTCCTTTTGCGCTGGAGCATATGTAGACTAACTGTAATGTACCATAAATATGGATCATGATAAATCATCAGTAGGAACAGGGAATGATTAAAAAGAGAGGGGGATGTATTTTCTTGATAGTTCTCTGTGTATATAGCCACAGGTGGGCGAGAACCAAAGGTCAGGTAAGCAACAGGGCCTCTCGTGTTTAGGCCCAGAGCTGGAGAAGGGCATCCCTGTAACGTGTAGGTTTATTTTTAGCGGACAGTTGCAACATTTCATCTTACCTGTGCAAAAGTGCCAGACCACACCTGCAGAGGATCCTGATAGCTCTGTCCCATCTACTGGATAAAACTAATTTAGAATAATTGTGGGGTTTTTTTTAACATGTTAATGTTTTTCACAATACAATGTGTTCCTTTCTAGATGACACCGCTAATAAACCAGGCCTGTGACGTCCTGCTGTGTAACTTGAAAGTCTATGCAGATTCTGGCAAAGCTTTTGATATCCAGAGGTATGTTCAACATGCCAGAAATTAGTAGCAGATTGAAAAAAAAAAAAAGTCAATAGCAGCAGTTATTCTAAATACGCGCTTACTGTATAAAAGAAGATTTTTTTCTTTCCTCCCTTGCTTTTATAAGTGGAGATCATAGTTTAATAGAGGATGTGTCTGATAGATGCCTTTTCTTCCTGGGGGCAGCTATTGCATACTTGAAAAGTAATTTTGGAAGAGCATCTAATGTATTTCTAGCTGTTGTTTAATGAAGTTTTAACAGCTGGAAGCAGAAAGGAAAGCTGCATCTGTCCCTGTCCAGTCTGCTCTCTACAGTCTGCCAATAATGTACAAATATAGGAATTGATCTAGTATCAAATCCCTCTAGTCAAACACCCTCTTGCTTTTTTTATATGAGGTGTTTTTTGAGCACTTAATCATTCTTACCACATTACTCCTAACCCTCTCTAATGGCAAGCTAGCCTTTTGTGAAATGACAGGATTGGTGCTCCAGATGAGAATGCACCATTGATTTATAAAATGACACTTTAGTATTTTCCATACTGTGCTTTCTCTCATTTGTTACGCATTTAATACACTATTATCTTTTTTTGTTGCTCTTTCATCAGAGGTCTTCACTGAACTGTTCACAACAGCCCCTTTGCTGAGCAAGTGCATTTCTTCTAGGACCCTGTAGAGCATATGAGTAGTTCAAATGTGTTCTTTCCAATAGGCACTATTTTGCATACACCTCATTTGCTAGGTTGGCCAATGCCCTCTGAAGTTCTTCGTGATTTCCCACAAACTGGAGCAGTTCAAGTAATTTTCTTTCATCTAAAGAAATAGGTATTTAGCCACAATTCATCCATCTCTTTTCAAGTGCATACGCAAGTATATGTGTGTACACAGAGACCTCTTTATTAAACATCTGAAGAGATGCTATGAAACTTTGAGATACATTATGTATCTGGTGCTCTGATGAAAATTGACCTTCTGAGTCCTTCCAGGCTTTTTCTTTTTTTTCCATTTGTCCCCTTTCTTTGCCTGGTCTTTTAGCTATTGATCCATGACAGGATTTCACCTCTCAAGAGGCACTTTGGAAAAGACCTTTTGAAAGTATGAATGAATGATGTTGACCATCTCAGAATGTGATCTTCCAGTTGTTTTATCATGCTACCATTTCAGCAGGTTTGCCATATATAAATGTGATTCTCATTGCACCGCAGTTTCCCAGAATTGCCTTGGGAGCTATTTTGTGAATGTAAATACCCTATCTGCAACCTCCTGTTGTCTTGTACGTTAGTTCTCTTTGGCCATTTTGTGTTTTGCCAACAACTCAAAATTTTGTTTTTAAGATTTTTCAGTACCTTGGAGAGGTAGATGATCGAGAGCTTCTGAAAAGACTGGTTTATTGCAGTGCCCCCTCTTTTAACACTTCAACTTCTAGTAATGCTTTTTGATTGCGTAAGAGTTGAACCCCCAAAGAAGTTACTTAGCTTTGTGGTACTGTTGTTATCTTCCAAATCTGCTCTGGTGTCATCAGAATGACAGTGCCCAAAGATCATAGTTTAGAAATGCTGCTTCACTATATATATACAGGATATACTGGGCCTGAGTCCTGTCCTTCCCTTAATACATGCTTGCTCAGGTTAAAACACCAGATAATTTGATATTAGCCTTTTTTAAGGGAACATAGAAGATCAGTCATTTCAGACTTGACAACAGATCAGAAGAATCAAATTTCAAGGATATTTTACATTCTCAGTCCATTTATCTCAAAACTAGATACAGCTGCTAATGCCCAGTAGAAATAAAGATGGTGAGACAACTGGAGAGATGGTCACACATGCAGAGAGAGATCCAGTAAGTCCTGAAGTTTTTAGATCATGGTCCACAGATCATTTGTAGTTCTCAAAGCATTTGCTACTCCTCTGCAGAGATACAGATTTCACATGGTGTCAGTTCCTCTTGGTTTTAACCACAATTTTACATTACAAAGGAGCTATCAAGAGGACGAAGGAAATCCTTAACAGGAAATTTTACTTAAACACCTCTTCTCACTGAGAGTTTAGACTGGACAGGTGGCAGGTATGGTCTGCAGTTTAAAATGAGAAAGAAATGATCTCTTTTATTAGGGTGCATACTAAGAAAATGCTTATGAATCTCTGATCTGTTGCATTTGATTTCTAGGTAATAACAAAATAAATGGTTTATTTTTTATAAATTTTAGTGGAATAATTGAGCTATATGAAAATATGTTCACTTTGTAGATGGAGAGAAGGTGATTGTTATTAAGCACCAGCATTTGTCAGAAACATCTTTTGTTGACAAAGCTCAGATCTAAAAACAAAAAGAAAATCAGAGGCAAAAATTAATGTTATGTGATGATTGTAGAAGCAAGATATTAATGGAGATGTAATTTGTAGCTAATGATTTATCATTCTTCAATTCAATGCAGGTGTTACAACTGCTTTACCTTGGATGTCGTTGGTAGTGTAGCTTTTGGTACTGAGGTGGATTCTCAGAAGAATCCCGATGACCCCTTTGTTAAAAATTGCAGAACGTTCTTTGAAATGTCTTTGTTTAAGCCTCTCCTCATCCTAATCCGTGAGTATAGTCCACTTTTGTCTAATTCTTTATGGTAAGTCTCTAAAGGTCATTCTCAAATTGCAGAACATGCTGGAGCGGGAGCAGGAAGGTGTACAGCAGACTTTATTTCAGAGGTGTTCAGAATGCAACCTACAGGCTACACCCTCAAGATTTCCACTGTATGCTCTACAGCTCTTGTCACCATTAATGTAACTTCCTCCAGAAACTGAGTGTCCGGGAAGGCAATGCTCCAGGTTGATCTGAGTGGAAGGTTTCTGGGACCTGTAGTTCCTACAGTATCCCTTTTAATACACTTCTACATTAAAACAGAGTAACTGCCCTTCAGAGCCTGCAAATAAAGTTTGGTAGAGCTTGAAATCCCACCCATAAACAACGGTGGGCTAATAACCCACTAAAGAAAAGAGGTGGAGAAGCAGAAGCAGATAATTCTTAAGTGAATAGCAGCAGCAGCCTGGTTGATGGCTATAAAGGATAAAGATGATAAGTGCCAGCACAGGCCGTCATTAAGAGAATGCATTTATTTTCAGGTGAATAGATAGGGAATGCAAGAATGGGGTATAAAGCCATTTGGTTCTAGGGCATGAAAGCTAAAGCTTCACAGCATTCGTGGCACTGTTAATGCAAGGGCAGTAAGTATCATGGCTGAGGAAGCCACAGCATAATCAAGGTTCTTGAGGTTTTACCACTTTGCTATCTAGAACTGCTCGCAGTAGTGTCAGGTGGCACAGTGGCAAAGTTTCCTGTGCCCATCTGATCCTGCTGGCATTACAGATCGCACCTGTACTAACAAATAGCACACAAACTGCTTCCTTCTGGTACTGTGTATCCAAAATGTCCTGGGGTTAATGTTTAACCTGATTGCAAAGTGGGATTTATGACTAATTTCTGAAGGGATAGAAGTGTGCCCCTATATGTCTAAGACTAAGTCCTTCATTAAAGAAAGTTTCTGTAGGGTTTGGGGGTTGAATTCCTTGGTCAAACTCTTTTTACTGGTACATTATGTATGTGGTCTAAATTTCCACACTGTTGCCCTCTTGGCAGCACAGGGGTTTTCCAATGACTGATTTGTTAGTCTTAAGGTGTTTGCAAGTTAACAAGGGGTTAATTAAGATGCAAGGCTTCACTCAGGTTTCTAGTTCCTGACTATAAAGCCCATGGACTGGAGACCATCCTTGTGATAACATCCCACCTCCAGAGGCTGTGGCCTGTTTAGAGAAGCAAAATAAAATAACAAACCAATATCCTAATATTGGAGACCAGCAGCAGAGTGGCGCAGCGGAAGCGTGCTGGGCCCATAACCCAGAGGTCGATGGATCGAAACCATCCTCTGCTAGCTCTTCCTTTTGGAATGTGGAAGGAGGGTCAGGCCACTTGGGAGGCATACAGGAAAGCTGCCAGATCATGTAGGGAAGCTACCAGAAAGGCCAAGGCTCACCTGGAACTGAGTTTGGCAAAGGACATCAAGAACAACAAGAAGGGCTTCTTCAAGTATGTCAGCAGTAAGCGTAAGACCAGGGGTAATGTGGGACTGCTGCTGAATGAAACGGGTGCCCTGATGACAGAAGATACAGAGAAGGCAGAGCTACTGAATGCCTTCTTTGCTTCAGTCTTCACTGTCGAGGCTGGCCCTCAGGCTCCCCAGTCCTGGCTGGTAAGCGAGCTAGCTTGGAGAAAGGAAGACCTTCCTTCTGTTGATGTGGATCAGGTTAGGGATCTTTTAAGGAAGCTGGACACCCACAAGTCCATGGGCCCCGACGGAATGCACCCGCAAGTGCTGAAGGAACTGTCAGACGTCATTGCGGAGCCACTCTCCATCATCTATGAAAGGTCGTGGAGAACAGGAGAGGTGCCTGATGACTGGAAGATAGCCAATGTCACTCCAGTCTTCAAAAAGGGCAAGAAGGAGGACCCAGGGAACTACAGGCCGGTTAGTCTCACCTCTGTCCCTGGAAAGGTGATGGAACAACTCATTCTAAGTGACCTCTCCAAGCAAGTGGACGACAAAAAGATCATCAGGAGTACCCAGCACGGATTCACCAAGGGGAAATCATGCCTGACCAATCTGATAGCCTTCTATGATGGCATGACCGGCTGGGTAGACAAAGGGAGAGCGGTGGATGTTGTCTACCTTGACTTCAGCAAGGCTTTTGATACTGTTTCCCATAACATCCTCATAAGGAAGCTCACGAAGTATGGGTTGGATGAGTGGACAGTGAGGTGGATTCGGAACTGGCTGAATGACAGGGCCCAGAGAGTTCTGATCGGCGGGGCAGAGTCCAGATGGAGGCCGGTAGCTAGTGGAGTTCCCCAGGGCTCGGTACTCGGCCCAGTCTTGTTTGAGCGATAGCAGCTCTGCTGAGAGGGACCTGGGAGTCCTGGTGGACAATAAGCTGACCATGAGCCAGCAATGTGCCCTTGTTGCCAAGAAGGCCAATGGTATCCTGGGGTGTATTAAGAGGAGTGGGGCAAGGCGGTCGAGGGAGGTTCTCCTCCCCCTCTACTCTGCCCTGGTGAGACCCCACCTGGAGTACTGTGTCCAGTTCTGGGCTCCCCAGTTCAAGAAAGACGAGGAACTCCTAGAAAGAGTCCAGAGGAGAGCAACTAGGATGATAAAGGGACTGGAGCACCTCCCCTACGAGGAAAGGCTGAGAGAGTTGGGCTTGTTCAGCCTGAAGAAGAGAAGACTGAGAGGGGACCTTATCAACACATACAAATATCTTAAGGGCAGAAGTCACAAGAGGACGGAAGCAGTCTGTTTGCAGTGGTGTCCAGCGACAGGACTAGGGGCAATGGATGCAAACTGAAACACGAGAGGTTTCAGTTGAATATGAGGAAGAACTTCTTCACTCTGAGGGTGGCAGAGCACTGGAACAGGCTGCCCAGGGAGGTTGTGGAGTCTCCTTCTCTGGAGATATTCAAAGCCCGCCTGGATGAAGTCCTGTGTAGCATGCTCTAGGTGAGCCTGCTTTAGCGGGGGGGTTGGACTGGATGATCTCCTGAGGTCCCTTCCAACCCTTACGATTCTGTGATTCTGTGAGAACTGTAAATGAGAACGACTAATACACAATTTCATGGATGGGTGCCATAAGCTGCTAGGCTAGTTCAAGATCGCCCACCTTCTGTCTGTAATTGTTTGAGTAGGCAGGGAAAATAATTCTCCCCTTTGTTGTGGTGGTTCTGTAGCATCAAGAAGCTGAACTGAAATCCTGAAGCATTGTGGAAGCAAGGTTGGAAGGTGTCTGTCTGGCAGGGGAGTCCCGGCTAACACAGAATTTCTAAGAGGAAATCCTTTACCAGCCTATGGGTGTGGAAGAAAAAGAGGGAGAGGGAGAGAGGAAAAAACAGGTTTCACAGAAGTAACACATCCCACTTGATGAATTTTATAATATTATAATGAAAGGATATTATATGCTTTTACAGTCTGATTCCGTGTTTTCTTCTTTAAAAAATTTCTTACAGTTTCTTTCCCATTCATAATGATACCATTGCTCCGGATTTTGCCAAACAAGAAACAAAAGGAACTGAATGGATTTTTTATCCAAACCATAAAAAATGCAATTGTCTTCAGAGACCAGCAAGATGCAGCTGAGGTAAGGCCATTTCTGTGATAAATATATGGATAAGCAAACATTTTGCGGAAAAACTGGAAGTGGCATGAGCCTCAATTGAAAAAGCAAACTCAGTCTGTTTGAACATTCAAAGCAATTTAGTGAAGATTTTTATTCATTTTTAGCTCTACGTATCATCAAGCCAGCTTGATGTTGATGCAGAATTGTTAACACATTACAAGAAAGACTGCTTCTCTTAGTTTTTCCTGTTCAGATAAGGAGGCAGAAAATGTTACATCTGGGATGACTTTCCAACCCAGTTTCTAGACCAAGAAGGAAGGATTCACTCTGTAGAATTTTTTCTGATCTTAAAGTCAGGTGTTTTGTCTATGCTGCTTTTCCTTAACAACCAGAGAAAGGTGAGCCCCCACTGAGTGTTTCAACCCAGTCATTACCTAGGAGCTGAGGTAGGTTTTATGGAGTCCTGTGACAGTTCCTACTGCTTTTGAAAATGAAAAGAACCTGAATGTCTGGTTAAGAGCAGACACTTAATATTGAGATGGCTAAAGGGAAAAGGGAGTAAATTCTACCTGAAGTATTGAAACTAATGGATATGCATTATTAGCAAATCGTTTGTTACCCATGTATTTCTCTTTCATCTGGACATAAGGCAGTTCTGGGGTTTTTTGTTTTGTTTTAATCACTGTTGGTTTATGAAGTATCTGAAGGCACATGCATTTTTATGAAAGTCTCTCTATTGTTGATATGCAAAGCATTTGGAACATAGGATGTGCTTCAGTTCTGTGATACAAAAGTTCTTCAGGTCTACTTGTCCTTTTGGACCATTCTTTACTGCAGACTGCACATTATATCCCTAAAAATAATTTACATCACTTAATTATGAATGTGTGGTGAGAAACAAAGAATATCAATGAGAATTCCATTTTAAAGGTAACTGAGACAAGTTCTGCATATCAATTGACATGAAACACGCTACAACATGCACATTAAGAAGCTGTTAATAGTGAAATATGAGAGATGTTTCTTACCATTTTGAGATGAAGAGCAATTCTCATGGGGTATCAACACAGGTGAGAGTGGATCCTCCCAAATTTTTCTCACAGCTTAGCCCCACAGCTGTCACCTTTCAGGAAAAACATTATTTTAGTTTACATCCAGGACACATTTAAAAATCAAATTCATTTTCAAAGATATTGCTGCTCTCTGCTGTGTTGCATGTTCTGCTCTTTTTCTTTGCAGTGAAGTCTCACTTCTGTATTTGTTGTGCTTTATCACCACATGCTTCTTGTCTTTTCCTCCAGCCCACCTTAACGACTCTTTGCCCTCACTAGCCTTTAGGTCTTTGTCTCTGTCCTTCTTTACATCCAAAAGGTTGTAAGCACCACTGACCAGCCACAAACAATTCATGATTTATAAACGTGGTTCCTGGCCCAGTCTCAGTATTGGAGAAATATTTTCTGACAGGAATGGTGTATCTAAGCTGCTTGCAGACACCTCATTTCTATCGCACAGATCCAGCCTGAGCTTTTAGTGGCATACTGGTGTGGCTGTGTGTATGGAGAGTTTGGAGGGCTGGAGCACCTCTCTTATGAGGACAGGCTGAGAGAGTTTGGCTTGTTCAGCCTGGAGAGGAGAAGGCAGCGGGGAGACCTGATTGTGGCCTTTCAGTACCTAAAGGGGGCCTATAGGAAAGATGGAGAAAACCTTTTTAGCAGGGACAGCTGTGACAGGACAAGGGGTAATGGTTTTAAACTGAAACAGGGTAGGTTTAGACTGGATATAAGGAAGAAGTTCTTTACAATGAGGGTGGTGAAACACTGGAACGGGTTGCCCAGAGAGGTAGTGGAGGCGCCATCCCTGGAAACATTCAAGACCAGGTTGGATGGGTCTCTGAGCAACGTGGTCTAGTTAGCAGTGTCCCTGCTCACTGTAGGGGGGGGGTGGGACTAGATGACCTCGATGGGTCCCTTCCAATAACATTCTATGATTCTATGAATCAGATTTATGCCAAAAGCGTCTGCGTGAAAAGTCTATTCTGTGTATCAATTATAAAAGGATGAAAGGGACAGTGAAACAATCTAATGTGGATTAAAAGTAGTTAATGTGTTAACTTCTATTAATAAAATGCAACGTGTTTCTGTGGCAGTAGCACTGGGGGCATTGATCATGGGCTAAATCCTTCACTATACTAGAGATGGTCACTCCTTCAAACTGCAGACAAAGATAAAGGATAGCAGTGGGCATGGTTAGGAGAAACCACAAAGAAAAGCAAGATCATAGAATCATAGAATCCCTTTGGTTGGAAAAGACCTTTGAGATCATCGAGTCCAACCTTTAACCTAACCCTGCCATCCCACCACTAAACCATGTCCCTAAGCACCTCATCTATCCTTCTTTTAAATACCTCCAGGGATGAGGACTCAACCACTTCCCTGGGCAGCCCATTCCAGAGCCTGACCACCCTTTCAGTGAAGAAGTTTTTCCTAATGTCTAACCTAAACCTGCCCTGGCACAACTTCAGACCATTTTCCCTCCTCCTATTGCCCATTACCAGGGAGAAGAGGCCGACTCCCACCTCACTACAGCCTCCTGTCAGGCAGTTGTAGAGGGCAATGGTAGGGACAAGAGCAGGAGGCAGCATTCTCTGCGTATGCAGCCTATTTGCAGGTTTCAGTGGCTGATGGAGTGAATGTTTAAGGTTGGAAGTGATATTGGGAGAAGCTGTAAGAGATAAGACACTGCAGTAGCTGCCCAGTATCACGGCAGTGTGGAGGAAAGTATAAGGTCCATGTTTGCCTTAGCAGTGTATGCACAAGTCCACGACTAGCTGTGGTTCTGCCTGCTCCTGGACTTTTGCCTAGTTTGCAAAATTGGTGTATGGGAACTATTTCAAATGCTGGGAGTTAGATACTTAGGACCAGATTTTTGAGAGTGCATTAAGTCCCCTTTGCAGTTCAGGATCATGAGCACAGCTTTCAAAAGCAATTGGAAAGTTTAGAGCTTCCTTTCCCTCCCCCCCCCCTTTTCACTGCCTGTCTCCTTACGTGCTCTTAGAATTTTGACTATTTTAGGTTGGTGGCACATGAGCCTTGTTACAAGTATGGGCAACTTAATAATTTCCCAGGAACGTAAAAATGGTATGTGAAACAGATCAAAATGCAGCTGTGTCCAATTTAATGCAGAAATGTAATCTGTAGAGATTAGGTGTCCCAGATAGCCCTGCACTGAAGGAGAATTATGTCCTGTGTCCTAGGTCTCAAATGATGAAATGTACCCACTGAAGTCAGTTGGAGTTTTGGCACTGAATTTTAATGAGGCCAAGATATAACTGGTAGCTACTGGTTCTTTGTACTAATAATGGGAGCTATAGGCCAAGTCTTACAGTCTCTGTGTGCTGCATTAGGCCAGTGGGTATTCCTTAGATTGCCACATTCCTAGATGTTACATTGTGTGCATCTTTTACTCCTCATTGATTTTATCACCATTAAAAATGCTTTGGGTTCTTTTTTTTTCTTTGGAGAAAAAAAAAAAAGCTTTTAGAATAAACTGTAAAACAATGAAAAGCTCCACAGAAGTGATTCAGCTGAAGCTTGTCTTCCTCTCATCTGCAGCAAACGTGAACGAAGAATAAAGAAAGGCCAAAAAACAATGTGACAAGCAAAGTCAGCCTGTTATCATCCCTGTTCTATCAGTAAATGAAACAATGGTTCTGAATGCCTAAAGATAATCCCATGGGCAGATAGTAATTTTACAGCCAGGTTTAGATCTAATAATACGCTTGCAGTTTATATGAGATCTGTGATGTCACTTTCTCTCATCCCATCGGTTAGTGCTGCAGATGTCAGTTTAATTATATATTATCTTTCTTTGGTCAGTCAAATAATTTCAGTCCTGGATATTCGACTCATTTGGCTTATATACAAAAACATTTAGTGGTCGTGCTTTAGAAATTGTAATATATTACATTTATTCATGGATTCAAATTGTTGTAAAATGCTTTTCCCGCTATTTACAGAAGAGCAAATTCACCCTGCTCAGCAGAAACAGCACAAATTTAATGCACCACTTAACACCTACTTTGAAGACTCCAGCAGGATTTAAGTGTTCAAATACCTTATCCTGATTATCTGCCCAGGTTTAAATTTTTCCCTTAGGCAAAATGTTTCCAGAAAGAGGGCAGATAGACTGTTTACTTCAGTAAATGATGTTTTCATAGATTTTCATTTAATAATCTGATATGCAAATCATTATTTATGTAAGAGTTGTTTTTCTATTATGTTATAGCTCAGTTCTTAACCTACCAGTCTGTTTTAAATGATGATATCTAGATGAAGGAGTCTTTCATGGTGCTCAAAATTGAGACTCCTTTCTAAAACTGTGGGTTGAAACTAAGCCCTGTCACAGATGAAAGGCCGGAATCTCATTTGTAATCCATAGTAGTAACAACAATTGGAATGTAACAATTTAAGAATAGTGCAAAACATTATTTTTGGAAAATCACAACAGATCTGTGGGAAAATCCAATTTTCAAAATATGCACCTTTTAACAAGGAGAATTGGAGAGTTCATAGAGGCTACAGCACGTTCTTCTGGCATCTCCTGATTTTCCCAGTCATGCTAAGTCAAGGTCACTGATCCATACCAGGCAGGTAGTGACCTGATGATGTTTCTGATGATGATCAGCTGTTTCTTGGTGGTGTGAAGCCGATTCGAAATGAGAGGGTGGCAAAGCACAGAGAAGTGTCACCAGAACTGTATTCATTGGCATCTCAGTTGGCAGTTTAATCAGTCTGGCTTGGAGACCTACGGACTACCTGAATGCTTTTGGCCTAAGTGCAGAGCAGACAGAAAGAGCAATGAGAGAGGAGCACAAAGGCTGGGCTGCTGTGAGCCACGCTGCCCGTGAGCCACGTGGCGTAAAGGCACAAAGAAGCTGTGGGGTGCTCTCGGTGCTGGTGATGATCTGCCCTCCCATGAATTGGTATGGCCCTGGGATGCTCTGTACTCTGCTGCGCTAGGTC